TATATTTATATATTTATATATTTATATATTTATATATTTATATATTTAATATTGAAAAGTATAGTGAAAATTCTTGATTTAAAGTTCTTATAAATAGATTATGATATTTTTAGTGAATTTAAATTAAAAAATAAAAGGTAGATATAGTTTTAGTTATATTATTTTTATTTTTATATTTTAATTTTAAATTAAAAAAAAAGTTTTTTACCCACCCGCAATCGCCCGCAAACGCAAACGCTAGCTGAAACCAGCTTTTGATTTTAAGAGGTTGGGAGCGGTTTGAAGCGATTTGTAGCGGTTTTTGTGATTGTTGCAAAACCTAGCAACCGCCATCAACCGCAAAAGCTGCGTTTGCGGGTGGTAGCGGGGAAACCAGTCGGACCCTTAATATATAAAAAATAAAAGAACGGACCACCACCACCAGGCCTGTCAAGATATTTGTATTTTTGATTGATATAGATATTGGGAGAGTCTACAATATGTTGTCATGTAGCGCCTAATTCATAAATGTGCAAACTAGTCTATAACTTAAGAAACAGAAAATCTAGATTTACAGATAAATTATTTACCAAACACCAATTATACTCATTTGCTCTTGATGAGTCACGTCTCGTGTATAATCAATGATAACTAAAGATTACTGAAATAAATGCTATAAAATCGATGACAAGTCATAGTTGTGAGTTTCGTTATCATACTATTTCATTACATCTCTTTTTTCCAATCAATTATATTTTGGTTACATAGTAGAATAATATCGACATAAAATCGAATCAATTATTAAAGATATTGTAATACTGAAAAAGTTACAAACCAGTTTGGTCTGCTTTGAAACGTAAAGGATATTTACAAACTATACGCTTATCATACCCAGCCGGTAATGGTACCGCCGAGCAACTCATCTTGGGTTCTGATATTACAAGCGGGTTAAGGATAGAGTCTATGTCAACTAACAAGACCATTGAAAAAAAAAACACGTACATTTTCATAAAAAAACATATCAAGATTGAAACTAGAAGCAAATAACTTGCATATTTTAAGATAAATATAAATATAAGATTATTTGAATACTTACCGTATTGCTCTAGCTCTCTTTGGTGGAATTCTCATTTACAAGACTAACTGACTAAGAGCCTTTGTAAATGACCCACCATCCTTCATCACCCTACAAGCTCCTTCCTTAATTTTTTTCATTTTATTCCTCACTCTTTTACCTTCGTCACCTTCTATCATGCCTTTAACTTCTTCACCTTCCATTAATCCTTTCACCACTCTAGCCACCTCTTCTTTCATCACCAGCCCATCAACCCCTGCATGGGCTCTAAGCGCCACATGGATATCTTCCGTCAACAAAATCGCATTCATCTTTTGCTCAGCGTATAATGGCCATGCTATAAGTGGAACACCATTTACTATACTTTCCATAATTGAATTCCATCCACAATGAGTAAGAAATCCTCATGTGGATGAATGGGCTAAAATTTGGGCTTGTGGAGCCCAAGAGGCGATCACGAAACCTCTGTCTTTGGTGCGGGCTAAATAACCAGGTGGTAAAAATGTTAATGGATCGGTATGGTTATGAGAATCAAAATACGAAGAACTGGCAACCCCATTCGGACATCTTATGACCCATAGAAACCGTTGTTTACTATCCGCAAGACCAAGAGCAAGCTCATTGAGCTGCTCGCATGAGAGTGTACCGCCACTACCGAAGGAAACATACAAAACTGAACCAAACGGTTGGTTGTCCAACCACTTTAAGCATTCAGATTCTTCGCTTTGGTCACCGTCTCGCTTACCAGTGTTAACTAATGGACCAACCGGATAAACAGGTGGTTTATCAAGACCAGGTTCTTGCAAGGCCTTTATAGCATTTGGCTCTAACTCGTGGAACGTATTCACAAGAATCCCTTTGGCTTCTTTGTACCTCTTGGTGTTGTGTAAAAGCCATTTGTAACCGTCGTTTTTCCGGTCTTGAACTGGGTCGAGGAAATCTTTGCCAAAAACCGGTACACATCCAGGGAGCTTAACCGGTTCGGTTAATTCCCTAAACTCACACGAGACCGTTTCGTCAAGTTTAGGCAAATGGAGAAAAAACGACAAGACGTTGGCCGTTGATGGGTGGAAAAGATACGGTGACACTTGGGACTCAAAGGCCACGTCGAAAGCATCCGTTCCAAAAAGATCGACGACTAGCGCCGTCGGCAAACGACCATCCGCCGTGAAAGAGTCGAAGACTTTCCGGAGCTCAGGGTTCGAACGAGTCACGGTGAGAGAAATGCGAGTTGCAATGCGAGCCGTCGACGGGATATCGGTAAGATCAGCAGGAGGGAGAAAGACGGAGGAGATTGAAGAAGGAAGAGAGTCAAGGACGGTTCTCTGAGCTTTTGACGGTGGACCTTCGCCAACCACGAGGAAGGTTACGGTGAAGCCGTGGTTGTGGACGAGTCGTTTAGCTAACTCGACGAATGGGATGAGGTGGCCCATTCCAGGACTCGGTATCATCGCAAAGTGAGGCGCTTTTGATCCCTCCATTGATGCAAAGTTTCAAGAATTGTTTTTTTTTTTGTTTGTTAATTATTCTCTTATTTGTGTTGTAGCTTGTGATTAACGTTTTTCTCTTTAGGATAAATACTAAGTAATGGCTTTATATAGAGGGTTCTTGTGTGAATTATTACGATTTTACAAACCCTATAATATTACTAGAGGCTTTCCGGCCGTGTGTCTTAATTTATGTTTAAGGCTAAATGTACTATTGTTTAAAATGGGGTTGGCTAATTTTATGGTGGACTTGTATCATTTGAACGATATTAAGTTTAGAAGATGTTGTAGTATATCTATTACCCAAAATGTTACATGTTCTGTTTATGGTGTTTGTGACTAGAGATTTTGTAACTTAATCAAGTAGTATGGATTTGGCAAATCACAATTGGTCACAAATCTAAGTTTGCTATGTTTTGCTAGAGGTATGTGTTTAAGTCGACAATAGCAGCAAAATCTCTAGACTCTCAGAACTCACACTTTATATTTGATGTTCTCCCGCCGCACCAACTAATGTTTGGGTCGGTGAACCCGATGGTGTCTGCATGCGTTTGATTTTGCCGAGGATGTGTGTGCTGAATTTAAATTGAATGTGGTTCAAAACGGAACATTCATATAGCCTATATGAAATGTATGCACAAGATATTATCTGATATCAATAGAAAAGTTAACTGCCTTAGTCAATCCAATAAACTCTGACCAAAACCGGTAAATCCAGTTAACTCTGACGAGAACCGGTCTACTAACCAACTGATTAACCTAAACCAAAAATCAGTTCCAATAGCCAAATCGGTTATCCAAACTGAACCACCATAAATATAAACCAACCAGTTGACGGTTGTCACTGACGATCGCACGCGGTGAGGCTTACCAGAAAAGGTCATCGGTGGTGGACCGCCGTGTGTAGGGGTCACGTGACTTGTAACGGTGGCTCTTGGTTGGGCTTTCTACTCTGTATTTGTCTCGATAAGAGGAATGTGATGGTGAGCTTGAATTTACGAAAACATAAAAATTGGAGAGTTATTGAGGATTTACTAAACATTTACACAAAACTCAATCGGAGCATGGTGGTTTCCGGTTACTTGCAACAAAGAATTGACGGTGGACTAAGCTATCTCACTGTTAAGTGTTAACAACGGTGGTCAAGGCTGAAGAATTCCTGATATTCTTGAAGGTTCAATTACTGTAAAGGTTCAACACTTGAATTTTTATAAATAAAATAAAATTTATATTTAAGAAAAATTCATAGAATTTCTTGCAGATCAATTGAGTTGTGTTGGACTTTATGATTTGGGTCATGACACTCATCATCTTCTAATTAAGGGTATGATTGAAGTTTAGACTTTCAAAATTTTAAAAAGTTTAGTTGTCTTAATAGTTTTTTTTAATCAGGTTTTTTTGAACAGTAATATTTTTAAAATTCTCAAAGTCAATATTAATTTTTCTCTTTTTCCTTATCCTTATTTTCTCTAAAATCTCGTAAACAAAGCTTTGAAAGCAAAATATACATATATATATATATATATATATATATGTATATATGTATATCTATATTTAATGATTTTTCTTCTTTCATACAAAATTATAATTTTTCTACAAATCTAAATAAATTATATTTTGAACTTTTTTTAATCAGTCATCTACATTTTTTCCTTGTTTATTTAAGATCTATATTCCCTACCAATCAAATTTTTAAATTTTTCTAAAGTAACAATTGCAGTTTTTTAAAGTCAAAATCTCTACATCCACAATCCCCTATATATTATTTGAGAATCATTTAAAAAGTTGTAACCTTAAGTTTATAAGAATTAAAAATAACCCCAATCCTATGTGGCATAGCTCTTTGGCTTCTATTTCAAATCCCAAGGATTCTAGAGCATGTGATATAATGTATAGTCTAAAAATTATATTTTCTAGCAATATAATATTTCGTAGACTATAGTTGGTCGCATATATCAAATATTTATTGTTTCGCATGCTTTCCTTAAATAAAACCTACGGAATTACCTAATGTGATTAAAATATATATGACAATTAATGATTTTAAACAATAAAGATTTGATAACAATCTGTATACTTTTTCTCATTTTGTTTATTTATTTATTATTAAAATAAATTACACAATTACATTAATCATATAATAAAATCTAGATTTTTTTTTGTCTATGTTGTATTTCGAATTTTTCAAAATGAATATAAATTACAAAACTGTTAAAAGTCTCACATAAACTTTTAGGATCAAGGTTTTAATTTTTTTCTATATTAAAATATAATGATTATAAGACCATATGAAGAAATAATTTTAGTTTTTATATATATATTTCATATCGTTTTAATTAAACTATAAATCGTATGAAAATATCTACTTATATTTTGATATTTGTCTTCAACATATATTGAAAATTTAATATTTTAATTTTGAAATATGTCATTTTTTTGTTTAAAATGATTATAAATTATTGAAACTATTAAACATCTCACATTAAAAAAAAATCGTTGCTGTAAAGTTTTGTTACACAAATATGCAAATAATCATAAAATCACCTCATTTAATAAATATGAATATTAAAAGTGTGTCATATTACTATGTTTATACAATTTAAATTTAATTATATATCCTATACAATATATAAGATTGATTATTTTGATTTATTTACGCTAATTGCGAATAAACAAGAGTGATAGTTAAATTTATATTCATACGTCAATTTATTACATAATAGTGACAGATTTCTTAGTTATGTAATATATATATATATTTATTATTTTATTATTTATGATATGCAGAATATTATAAAATAAGTTATAAATATTAAATATTTATTGTGCATAAAGTGCAGATCTTAACCTAAGTATGTATCTTTTTAATTATTTTAAATCTTAAGTATTTTCTCAATCCCAGGTCAAAACAAATAAACAAAATGAGAATAAACTTCAAAATCAATATTTATATCGAACCAAAATATTTAAAAACACAACAAGAGAAAAAATTGAAGATAAATAGGATAAACACGTGAACGTGAACTTCTCATAACCATAATTAATTTTTGAATTATTAAATCATGATATAAAACTGAGTTAATTTTTAATTTGTTAATTTTTTATTTTTTATGTTTTAAATCATTATGGTTATGTTAAATCATGACCACAATTAATTTTAAATTCTTTATTTGTATTTGAAAAACTTAAAATATTGTTTTTAAAAATAATTTAAAATTTAACTTAATTTTTTATAAAATTATTTAAAAAATAATAATTTGTAAATAATATAATTTTCTAATATTATTATACAAATAAATAAATTATATTAAATTAGTTTTGAAACTTTATATATTTTAAATGTAATTATTTTACCAATTGCTTCTTAAAAAAACATTAGAAAATTTGCTAATACTCTACCAATCAAGCCCAATGACACTCTGTTTATTTTCCATCACTCGAACACCAAAAAGTGAAAATATATATGAAATCAGGTCCATTAAATTCTAAGATTTGATATATAGTTCTAATTACAATTGCTTCTGATCCTACATATATATAATTATTTAAAAATTCCAAAATTCTAAAATTTCAAATACATATAAAAACAATTATATGTAAATTTTAAATTTATCAATACTAAAATTCTATATTTTAATTACGTATATTCACCCTGCGCAAGACGCAGGTCTTATCCTAGTTCTAAAATTAAAATCCAAGACGACAATTATTAACAATTGGACCTTAAAAGTTACTAGTCTATCCCTTTGGGTACATATTTATCTTTACAAAACTATTTAAAATTATGGGAATACATAATAATATCCTAGAAAATTACGAATACATGTGCATTGTGTTCATCCATTTTTAGTTAACTATGAACTAGAAACAAACAATTAAGCAAACAGATACCAGATACATGGTAGAATGGCTATTTTACAGAAGGGACATTTATTTAGGGAAAATTGACAAAAAAATAAACTTTCAAATTTAAGCCATAAAAACCATGAATTCACAAACAAGCCATTTTACACATTAACTATTGGTCAAATACGAAATAATCACATATTATTGTTGACCAAACCATTTTATACATATTGAAAGTCAAACCGTTAACTCCGTAAGTGAATAGTTAACGTAACTTTTGACCTATCTAAAATGGTCTGATCAACGAAAGTATGAAATTTTATTGGTTTCTGTTTAAAAATTAAAGATTGAAATGATTTACCAAAGTTTGAAAATTTCATAATTTTTTAAAAATAGTGTGTCAACTCAAATTATTTTTGATTTTGATAATATGTAATATACTATATATATATCAATGATTTTGATAAATAAATTCACTTTTGATCTTATGTAGTAGTCTCATCTTATTTTTCTTATTATTCTTTAATGTTAAGTAAATTAAATAGAAAGTTATAAGTGATCAATCCAAAATAAATAAAACTATATTTACAAACATCTAATAGTTATCCTAAACATGTCATGTTTGTGTTTGATATGTAGTGTTTTAATGGTTTTTAATATATTTATTTTGATCATATAGTCATTTAGATTGCATTTATATGTATATAGTGCATACATTTGTCTCTTTGCATTTGACAGGGGTTAAAGTGCACATTTGAAAGGTTGGGTCAAAAATTAAGGGTTAAATTGCACATTGTGGAAGTCTTGAGTCAGAAACGAAGTTATGAAACATTCAGCGACCAGTTAATAATCGCTTGGGTTAAACTGCCAATCAAAAGTCCAGGGGTTGATTCAAGAGGGTGTTTCGGCAATTTACAAAGTTTGGAGCCGATATCAAAATAATCAAAAGCTGAAGGATCTAGGTTACAAAAAGGGAAAATGTGGCCATGAGAGCTCACGAGCTTCTTGTGGCTGTAGATCCCGACTATTCCGACGACAAGACTCGAGCACCGGTGACCACGGCCTGGATCTCGGGGTGAGATGCGGAGGAGCTGACGACGGATGGAGGCTTGAACCGGAGACGCCGGTGGTGAACCAAGGACTCGCCG